GGCTACTGACTAAACCAACGCTACTATGAAAAAGAAAAAGAAAAAAATTAATATACCCTGGTTCAATGTAAACAGAAGTCACGCCTCATACTTAGCCTCAGAAAATACCGACACACTTACACCCGACACACCTACTGCAGTTACCGGATCAGGAGGTACCAGTATCGAGTCCACACCGTAGTCGCACATCATAGCCCGCTCCGTACTTCACCATAAGAAACCGACATACTTACGTCCGGGAGTCCTATAACAACCATCAAAACCAAAAAGTACCGGTATCGAGCCCACATAGACACAGACCAAAGGTCTGCAGCATATCTTAATACAAAAAGCACACTTCCTACTGTTCATACCAAAGGTTACCTGTTCGAACCCCACAATCACCCAACTTATAGCAACTGAAAAGCACCGATGTATGGGCCAAGTACTGGTGGTTTAAGACCGGGGAAATGGGCCCTGCGTCCCTCACATGAATGCCGCAGTCGCACGGGGCTGAGAAAGGCACTCCCGGCCAATCCCATCCTGGACCACGGTGGTCCAACCGCCGAGACCCCTGCCTGCCCCGTACCATAGGGCTGAAGTTGCGAAAACGAAACTAAGCGGGAAACAAGCATATCTTGCGGCTATAATGAAAAGATATGTTCAGTGACATGGCATAAAAAAAAAAAAAAAAAAAAAAAAAAGCCAGTGAAAATCGAGAGAAAAATATATATAGTATTTACAGCTGTCCCCTAAAGAGGAGAAGACAGCTTTTTTGAACTTTTCATTATTATTATTATTATTATTATTATTATTATTTAATGACAGGGTTTATCAGTTCAACAAACTCAAATTCTGGGCCCTTTTCCAGGGAAGAGAAGAAAGCAAAGAAACGACGTCCAGCTATAAATATGTGGCTTTCAGGGCATACTCACGCTAGCACTTTTTTACTTGTTTCTGGACGGAATTGTGGCCAGATCCATACAGGTTTGGACGGATATGCGCTCAGATAAATTTAAGATAGTGCTAGTGTGAGTACGCCCTCACTGTTTCAGATCTGCCCATTACGAGTTCAAATTCTGCGCCAGTTTCTGGAGGAAAAGAGGGCAAAACATCCACAGAACTACCTGGCAGGTACATGGAGTTAAAAAAAAAAAAAACAGTTATACCGAACAGCTGTAATCATCAGCTGCAAATTCCGGGCTACCCCTAAGAAATGGACTGGGCGCCCAGAACACGAAAATAAAATAAAATTGAAACAGAACGGTTTCGGGGTCCTGGGGGCTCCCGGGGTCTGCGCCACCGCCAGGCCCTACCATTTTTTTTTTCGAGCCTTCAACGGGCCCAGGAGGTGTTCAAGAAGCGGCCGAATCTGGGCTGTTCAATCTTTGCAAGTGACGGCCCAGATTCAGGCACTTTTTGAATGAGCCACCCTCGCGATTTCGCGTGAGCTTCGTTTTTTGAATGCCCTCGCGAAACCACGCGGGCGCTGCTCCCTTCGACGAGATCCTCCCCCCCTCCCCAGCTTGCTCCGATGCTGCTCGTCACACCACCTGCCATCGACACGGTAAGTCCTCTTCTTCTTCTTCTTCTTCTTCTTCTTCTTCTTCTTCTTCTTCTTCTTCTTGTGTGTGTGTGTGTGTGAGAGTGAGAGAGAGAGCT